GCACAGGCTGGGGCGGGGGGGTGGGGGGTGGGACGGGCACGGCAGGGACGTGGGCACGGGGGGACACACACACGGCAGCGGACACTGGCACAGGGGACACGGCACAGGTGGGGGGACGTGGCAGGGACATGGGCACAGGCAGGGAACACAGCAGGGACACGGGTGGGGGGACACGGCAGGGACACGGGACGTGGCTAGGACACGGGCACAGGCAGGGAGGGCATGGGGACGGACACCGGCATGGGCAGGGAGGATGCGGCCGGGGACGGACGTGGCAGGGACACGGGCGCAGGCAGGGCACAGAGCTGAGGCATGGGACATGGCAGGGACACAGGCAGGGGACACAGTAGGGACACGAACGTGCTCTGGACACCTAGCAGGGACACAGACGTGCACAGGGGACACAGCAGGGACACGGACACAGGCAAGGGGACACCGCGGCAGGGACAGGGAGGCATGCAGGGATGTGGCAGGGCCACCAACGCACGCGCGGGGCGGGGACAGCAGGGCCGGGGCCAGGCGCGGGGGCCGGGGCCAGTGTCCTCACCGCGTCCAGTTGTAGGTGGGCGGGGGGTTGCCGTCCCCCAGGCAGGTCAGCGTGGCCCCCTCCATGCCCTCCTGCCACTCCTCCGTGTGCCCCAGCACCGAGGCGTCCGACAGGTCTGGGGACAAGGGCACAGTGAGGGGACGAGCAGGGACGGTCCCCATGTCCCCATGGTCCTGCTGTGCTCCCCACGTCCCCAGCGTGCCCCCCGTGCCTTTCATCTCCCCAGCGTCCTCCACGTCCCCAAAGTCCTCCATGCCAATGTCCCCAATGCCCTCCATGTCCCCCACGTGCCCCAGTCCCCATGTCCTTCATGTCCCCAACACCCTCCACCTCCCCAATGCCCCCACATCCCTCAATGCCCTCCATGTCCCCAATGCCCCCCATGCCCTCCGTGCCCCTCAGTGCTCTCCATGCCCCCAATGCCTCCCATGTCCACAACATCCTCCACGTCCCTCAGCGTCCCCCATGCCCTCCATGCCTTCCACGTCCCTCAATGCTCCCCATGTCCCTCAACGCCCCCAGTGACCCCCACGGCCTCCACATCCCTCAATGCCCCTCATGCTCTCCACGTCCCCAATGTTCCCCATGTCCTTCAATCCCCCCCATGTCACCCATGTCCCCAGTGCCCCCCATGCCCCTCACGTCCCTCAATGCCTCCCATGCCCCCCACATCCCTCAATGCCTCCCATGCCCCCATGTCTTCCATGTCCCTCAATGCCTTCCATGCCCCCATGCCCCCCACGTCCCCCAATGCCTCCCATGCCCCCCACGTCCCTCAAT